GATATTTTTGAATTGGTTGTTGGCTTATGGTTTCATTAATCATAAGAAAAATGTTATAAAACAGCATTTAAAAAAATGCATATTTGAGATACAGTATACCTTAATGTAGCGTGTAAGTTTTTGTGTTTTATTTATTTTCCTAATTATAGTTATCTAAAACATACAGGTAAATCATTTCAGATGATAAAAACCGTGTTCTCCGTCTTCTCTTCAAAGATTAAATGTTTCTTATTCATTGAGCTGAGAAACACTTCATTTTTGCACTACTGTTTCCTGGCAATTCCTCTTCTTCTGTTACACCCAGGAGGTTGTATTTACATTGAGCCGAATCTTCGCAGATAATTCTAAGGAGTGCAGAAAGAAAAATTTAATTTTGGGGTAAAAAAGAAGAAAAACCACAAATGGGTACACTGACGGATTTTGGTGCAAATAACGAAAACCTTGTATGGCGCGCCATCTCGCTATTTCCCCGATTTACGGCAGTCACACAGCCAGCATGCCGTCTAAACTGCACCTGCGCTCTCGCCGTTCGCAAATTGCGCTTACGATCATCCGAGTTAAGAATAGCTTGCTGTCTTGTAGTTGGCAGAACATTCCGGTGATATACACGCAACAAAACTGGAAAATTACCAAAAAATCCAATAAACTCTTGGTGCGGATTCTAAGCTTCTAGGGTTAAAACAGTAACAACATTCTTTATAGCTAATACTATAAGGAAATCAATGGCGTGTTTTTACCACTTGAAATGAGTAATCTTGTATTAAACCACCACTGTGACATCCTACACAGCAAAGGGAAACACATAGAGCAATATATCATAAGTCTATAAGTTCCAGTAACTCTTAGCACTAACTTAAATAATGTTAACTCATGAGTTTAGATATAATTTGGAATAAAATGATTCACGCCTGTTTCGAAAATTGTTTTGTTCCTTTTCACGCCAGCAGTATAAAACCTTTACAGAGATTTTCTCAATAGTAATAACGAGCGGATTTCTGCGATTTTGCACATTTTTCAATTGCTTGAGGACATAGCTGAGTGAAATTTCTTGGCATTTGATTAGAAATGGATGCTACGTAGATTAAAATGTTAGTGCACACTTGTGCATATTTATCCAATTTTTTCATGTTGGTGCATATTCCTGTAATTAAAGGAGCATATTTTGCTTATTTCGTTGAAATAGAGATTTATCTAAAAAAACTGTTCATATTTTTATAGTATATTTTTGTTTAGGAGTGCTAATTGATTAGAAAGAGCTTGCCACGTTTTTTTTCTTTTCTAGCGATACTCTTGCACATGCAATACTTTTGCATATGAAGGAAATTTTTTGATATTATTTATTTTAAGCCAGACAGAAAAAGTGAAACAAATCATACAATGTAATTCATTAAGTTGCGTATTTACTTCATCTATTTCTCCAGTGCAGTGAGGTAGGTTATGTTATATTTGCACAAAAATATATTTTTTCATTCCAAACATGCTCCTCCTGAATTTGATCAAGAAAGGTTTATACAGGAAATTAAATATTGTTAATTTTAAGCCTATATTTTTAAAAGCATATTTCAAGATTTTTTACAGCATAAAAATCCTCTCTCTACTAATAACTTATGAGTTAACATCTTGCTATGAGCTCTTCAATTGTCAAAGGTACCGTCCTCCATTTCTACAAATCATGATCCTCATATTCTTCCTACCTAATTCAATTTTTCTTTCTTCGTACTCTTGGAGAATGTTTTCAATGATATTACATGACATTATGAAGAAATATTGCACGAAAAGCAAAATATTTAGATGACATTCTGCTAAATTAATGAAACAGTAATATTAACCAACTGAAATGGGAAAAAAGCTGGAAAAGTGTTACGAAAAAATGTTCTTGTAGGAGACTGTGCAACGTTTTTCAATGAGCACGATTCTCAATACCTTTGAACAATTTACGCAAAGTAACTAACTATAATAAAAAAGAAATGAAGATTTTGCAATGTCTTCGAATATTATTGCTACTATATTACTTCCTCTAATAAAAATAATATCCAATATTGCATTCTCAATAATCTACAAGGAGTGTAAGACAGGAGTGCCGTAGTTACGTAGTAAAGTAAATACTATAATACTGACTAGGAAATATTTTTTTTGTTAGAAGCATTAATATTTTTGAAAACTTCAATATTTTTTTCGACGTCTTCTGTAACAACATTAATTTTACTTTGTACACGTAGGCTTCCGCGGCTCGGGTTCATGACTTCTAGTCTGTCCGGCGTCACCCGGCCAGCCTAAAAGTTTTAATTTTACTTTCCCATGTACATACGTATATACTTAGTAGAGAGAAAGTTACGAAATGCTGCGCGAAAAAAATGGCGGATTTTGGGCAGAAAAAATTTCATTTCCGGGCTCTGATAACTAAAGAATAGATAAATCCAGTTGCTAAATTAAAAAAATATCCCTCTAACATGTGATGTAGCCAGAATCCCCGGTTTGTGGGTCCTTGATATCCAAAAATTAATTGATGGCAAAACATCCGTCCGTCTGTCTATGTTTGTTCGTCTGTGAACACCACTACCGGTTAAACCATACCATTTTCTCAAAAGGCCCCAAAGTTTTTCTTTAAATTTCTTGTAAGAATAGAGTAAAGTACACTTATAAAGGTGACGTGACTATGATTTTCACGGCTAACTCTGAATTTTCAAAAATCGCAAAAGTTTGAATTTATGGGCGTCTTTCGATAATTACAAAATAAAAGATACAGATTTTTTCTATAAATAAAATTTGTTCTACATGGTCACTTCTTCCAGTAAGGTTATGTACATTGTTTTGATATTTTAGTAATTTTCGCGCAATATTGCGTGCAACATGTGCATTTTAAAAAAACTACAAAAACACGATTTTCTCAAAAACTCACTTTTTCTTCAAAAATAGTCTCCAAATTTTTCAAAGATAATTGCCATTAATGAAGATGTATTATTGTTCTTTAATATTTTTAAAATAACATTTCTATTCTACTATTAGGAAACCGAAAAATTAAGAAAATGTACAAAAAAATGTATTTTGGGCGGCGATAAATGGCAGCTGGAAAGAGTATGTGCAAGTCCGAATATGTAGCCGAGACCAAAGGTAATAGAAACTAATACGGAAATGTCTTTTTCATTCTGTAACACCACTAGTTTCATTAATGTTATATGCTCTTCATTTCCATGAAATTTTGTACTATTTACTCAAATGCACACCATACGTAGCACAGGTAAGAAAACACCGCACACAAAATACACAAAATGCTCCACTGTGAATCTCCGTATACTCTGAAATCGGGGCAGGAAACGGAATGTAGAACTCAAATAATGGCAGACAATATGCTCATCGCTTACAAATATGATAATTTTAGGTCAATGTATTTTCTTCGGGGAATAAAATTTTATATTGGGCAGCGGCGTAAACATTTGATCGGGAAGGCATCGACGAGGTCACGTAGCGGGAAGGGGGTGGTGCGAAGAAGGGACCTTGAATTCTTACAAAGTTTTCTGGAATTTTATATAGTCCATGCGCAAGAAATGGGACACATCCAACGTATCGTTTTACAGGAGAAGGGCTTAATGTGAGCGAAGCCGTTTTTTAATCTCGGCAAAATATTTTATTCCATTTCCTGTGAATCTTCCAGTTTTGTGAAAAATGTTTTTGATTTTTAACTAAAAATGGACTCACATTTCACTTAAATAACAAATGTCGCTTTTGTAAATATTTCAGTTTTCTTGTGCACCAGCAATACGTCAAATTATACAAAAACAAATTTTTCTCCCAGTTAGAAACTGAGGCGGTGCTGAAAACCAAAATATTAGAGTTGTTAGAAAGTTTAGTAAGTTCTAAATTCTGTTAATATTATAACGGTGACACACAGATAGGAATTAAAATTATAGTATTTCGCTGACATTTTATACCTGTTACACACATTCTACAATTAAATATATAATTAAATATTGTAATGCGATTTCATAAATATTCGTTCATGGCCTTTTGTAAAAGTGTTTCTTCTTTCATCAATGACTTGTTCTTTTTTAGATGAAGAATTATATATTGCACTACGAAGCTTGTCGTATGCGTATAATTGCATCATTCTCAGCACTTGATAAAATTTGAACGTACAGGAAATTATGATAATTATTGAAGTCGTAGGCTTCATTTAACTACCCTCTACGGGGAGGAATTATACAAATTTACCAAGACATTCGCATACCAGCCCTGAGGAAGACCACGACAGGATGGTCGAAACGTCGGCAACTCAGCCTTCGACGCGGCGTCACCCGGACAGCCCAGATCACCCACATGATAATTATTGTAGTTAACCTTGTCTTAAGCCGTTAATTAAAAATTAGCATTATGCTTGCAAAAATTCACAAAGATTGATAATAGGAATGAAATGATTAGAAAAGGCATCTCACATTAGCCTGGTTTACTAGGTTATTCTTGTCGTAGTAACTTGGAATGTACCCGTAATTCGAAATAAAGAAGTACAGTTATTAAAGATATTAGAAAAGCAATATAGCTGTGTTCTCTCAGAAATAAAAAAGGAAATAAAGAATAGAAGGTAAATTTGTAACTAGGTAAATAATATTTGTAGTGGAAGACACGGAGCCAAAAATGTAATTTGGTACAGCGGTATACTTTTATATATTTATATATATATATATATATATATATATATATATATATATATATATATATATATACAGAGAGAAAATATGATAGAGGTTGCACTAATATCGTATAAATCTACTCTAAATTTAGAGTAGATTTTAAAATGTGGAGATGTCAACCTATTAACGAACTTTTATGTTCCGACGGAATATGAAAACAAAAACACTAGAACATTATATGACAACCTTCAGATACTGGATAAACAATTCATACAAAATTGTAAGAACGAATGTGCCGTTTCTCAGAGACTGTAATAAATCGCTTATCTCCATTCCTAAATAAAAGATTTACCTGTTACTATCTCGTGGCCATTGCTAGCGCGTCCGCGCGACGAGATGCGGAGCGGTGCGGTAGCCGGGGCGGGGCCAAGACCCGGGCCGGAGCCGCGCGGCGGTGGCCACCCTGACCCAGAGGACGGCGACAGGCCGCCCCGCGCCGAGCATCACGCCACGACCGCTCGCGCACTTCTCAGCGCGGCACGCCATTCGACGCTCGCTTGCTTCCGGCGCGATTCTATTCCAGGTCCTTTTACTTTCCGTGTAATACGTATCATCGCTGCGTCATTGTTTTTCGTTTACCAGTAGCGTCCATTTCGTTTCCTTGCATTCCAAACAATTTATTTTAAACATATAATGTTAAACAAGTGTGATTGATATGTGAACGTAGAAAAAATTAACAATAAAACATTCTCAGTAATGTGTAAACAATTCGCATTTCTGAAGGTTAGGCATGCCAAAGTACAGATATTTTAACTGTTCAATTAGATTAAATTAAATTTTAGTTATTTATTACGATAAAGCCCCCTCTAACCTAAGTCGCAAGGCAGTAGGTTTAATGTATCGGACATATAAAAGTAAATTCCCGCCTTCACAGAAATACTGTGGAGGGGACAAAACTCAAAAAAAATTTTATCAACATCGTTCACATTTTTAAATAATTTATGTAGATGATGTATACTTGTTATTAATTAGACTATTAATGAAGTACACTTGCTATTAATAATACTATTATTGAGGTACACTTGTTATTAATAAGATGATTTAGAAACAATGGTATAAATATATACTTTATATTTATCGTTTTTCTCCTAGTAAATAAGAGTAGAAACTTTCATTCAAGAACTATTTTCCCCAAATTTTTAAAGTTGAAGTTCAAATAAAATGGTTACATAGATGAGTTGTGACCGGGCAATTCAATTTTTATAGTGAAGAAGGTTTGCGCGTGACCGGAAATAATAATGAAATGTAATAAAAATTGTACTAATTCAGAGGACTAGAACAAGAACAAGAACATAGACCCTTTCGCAATATAGCGTCAAACCCCCCCTAGTTCCTTTGTTAATAAAACCTTATCTTTCACATTTTCGTTGTCGTTTCTTAACGTCACCAATTTGTAGTTTTTTGTAAGTTTCTTAGCCATTATTTCAAGCAGAACTTTCTCCTCTATTACTTATTTAAAAAATAAAGAATAAAAAATGGTAATATTTTCGCGCGCTATTAATGGGAAATTGTTAAAATAAAATTACTAAAGAATAAATTATTTAAGTAATTCTGATATCTTACTCAGTAAATCGGTATGACACATAGTATTTCCCATATTTTCAAGCAGTTCGAAATATTTTGTAGCATTTAATTACCAAAAACTGTAACCATTGTAAGTTTTTGTTCCAGTATCTAATTATAATACACATGTTTTCTCTACCTAACATTCTTATCGTTCACAAGTTACATTCAAATTTAAACTTTTTCTTTCTAAATTATTCACATTAAAGATTACATTTCCTGTGAAAATACCCAAAATATGCACCAACAATTCACATAATTATCATTATAAGTACTCAATTTTGATCCAAGTCGCATTATTTTGTAAGAACTTTTATATGCATGGAGTCTTCACTCTCAAACAGCAAATTCAAACTTCAAACCCCAAAACATTTTTAAATATTCAAACGTAAATTTTTTAAATTCTTCGGAATACTGTGCTTAATTACATTGATGTAGATCACACAATAGGAAACTAGCCCATTTGTAAAGAGCGTCTAATCAACTAAGAAAATGTGTACTCAAATCTCTATAATCTCCTGTATGTGCACATTTATTATTACCCTCTTAACCGAAAGCAATGTAATAAATTTTGATAAATTAAATAAAATTTGTTGCTAACATTTTCATTACTTTGAAGATCAACGGCCATGACGAAATTAAATAGAGAAAAATTGTTTCTTCTAATTTTAATGATAATTTTTAAAATTGATTGAAATAGATACATTTTCTACATTACACCTGTTTTTATTATTGCTATAAGCGCCTTAGCTGTTATTTTTTTACGAGAAACCTAATAAAAATAGTGATGATAATAATTTACGTTATATTATGTGTATCGTATTTAGAATCAATGGTTCTTGTTCAACCAAATCATAAATAAACGAAAGGGTTTTTAGACCATTTAACCCATGTCAATAGTTGGATGAGACATGTGACCACCATTTAAGTTCTCATACTTTCGAAGAATATAATAATTTTATAGTTTAAAGAGAGAGAAGTGAATTTATGTTTCCTGGGAAATAATATTTCCCGGAGACAATGGACCTGATACTTAAGAAATAATTTGATTATTTAAGTAATTTTGGTTACTACTGTTATATAATGCTTCATTTGTGTGTATAATATAACAAAAGTGTTGTAACATATTTGTATTATTTTTCCGTTGGAATTATTTATTGGATAATTACAAGAAACTATTGTCCCGGCAAAAAAATTTAATCATATCTTTGAAAAATTACAGGATATAAACAACATTATATGAAACACCTCGTATGCGTCAATGGTACGACTACACGTACCTCAATGGCTAAATACGTATTAATTACATGGAATTTAATACCTTCTTCTCCCTCCGCGCGCAGTCTCTATCTTGAGGCTACAGCAGAATATTTATGGCCGCCGTTCGCAGCGCGCAACTTGCACAAGAGGCGTTCAATAGAAAAATCGCCGCGCATCCGTTTGGCGTCGGGCGCGGTCTGGGAGCGGCACCAAGGCCGGTTGCGAACCCGACCCTCGCGGCGAGGGCCAACGGCCCGGGCCAACGCGCCGGGCGAGCGGCCGGGCGTCAGGGGGCGGCGGAGGCCGCGACGGCAACGCGAGGGTCGCAGGTGCGAGGGTCAGAGGCCGTTGACCCCGCCGCGCATCTTCCCCTCGAAGCCCCTTGCGCTCCGCTCCACAACGCGACGCCCCTGGGCTCCTCGCGAGCACGGACCTGCGTTGCACGTGCGCCCTGCTCGCGATATTGGGTGTTGGGTGCACATTTGCTCCTGGCTGTTTTCGTTCCGTATGAGAATCTTCGCCTCTGGCAAGGTTTCTTCACGTTTAGGTAGAAACGATACGCTTACTACTGTGTTTAGTGACTAATAGGTCCGATGAAACGTGGAAATATTTTCTTGGAGAGTTTCAAAAAGGTTCGCATTTCGTATTTCCATAAGGTTCCTTCAAATGGTTGGAGAAACTACGCATTTCCACTCCTTAATGAATAGTTGGCAGAACCACTCTTAAGGTGAAGCTAGTGGGGCTTCTGACTTCTTCCCCGAAGTCTATGACGCATGTTCGTGAATAAAGTATTTTCATTTTCTGTAATATATAAAGTCATTCAATACCACAACTGATTTCGCTGTAAATAAATATAAATCGACAAATAAAAAGTAATTGAACCCAAATGAAAAATTCTTCTTGAGAAGACATTAAATCAGCCGAACACTACATTTATGGCTCCCTCATAGAAAAATTCTGAAGGTGCCATTGACCGTAGGGAAAACGTTATTTCTTAGCAACAGTACTAGAAAATAATCCTTCTGGTTCCTGTATTCGTTTCCTCGCCATTCACTTAGTAATTTGTGGTAAACAAGCGAGTTCAACAGGTTTTCTCGGGGGTTCTCCTTTCCCCCTATCATTCATTCCACCATTTCATCACTCACGTGTTCATATCATCGTTGAAGAACCCCTAAATTTCGATAAATAAAAATCGTTCTTATTCTCACATTTGCTAGCCGTGAGAGTGAAAATCCAGCTCATTTTCCGATGCAAATAATGTGTTACAAGGAAGTGAATATTTTTTGTAATCAAGTTTGCCCCAAAATCTCTTGCTACCTTTATTCACAATTTAACTGAGCGTAGATAAGAGCACTCCTCTCCCCTCTCCCCTTCTCACTGTTTTTAAACTGCGTTTCAAGATTCAACAAATAATTAAAAGACAATGTAAAAGTGTTGTAAGCAAGAAAATGAGAATCGGCTACCATTGCTGATATTATTTTCTCTTTTATATGGCACGCAAAAATATATACGAAGCAATGATTTTTTTGTTATTTAAGGTCGCATCATCTTCTAGGTCATTAGCGATCACTATTGCTTACAACGGTAACTGTGAGGATGACACGACATGATGATGATAGAGGGTGAAAGGACAAACACAATACAACCATACCCGAGGGAGGGAATCGAACCCGCGATCCTTGGTCCGAGATCGTTACAGCACCACTGCCTTAGCGATATCGGCTACCTACATCGGCGATGATAATTTGTCTTCGTCATATGTTATAATTGTCAAAATAGTCTTAGACCTAGACGAAAGCAAATAGATTTTTAGTATTTTTTATCACTAAATGTAGCTCTGCATGTAAAGTGAGGCAATATTCAATCCCTAAACGTAATGTTTAAAAGTGAATTAATATTTCTAAATGTTAAAAGCATAACATTCGACTTCCGTTATGAATGTAATTATTTTTGCAGTCTAGATACGAAATTTCTGTCGAATGGAAATCTGAGTTTGTTTCACCAACTATATTTGAAATACTGCTGATCTATAGTATATCAAAATTATTTTTACGATATGTCTCACTTTTTGATTCCAAAGGACCATATCGGGACTCAATCAAAAATAACTGCGCTTTTTATTTCGTATACTCTTCTTATATTACTGCTCACGGTTTGTCTATAAAATATCATATTTTTAATTTCTTTCTTAAACATAAAAGCTATAAAATATATATAATATATATTATATATGACATATATTATATATATATATATATATATATATATATATATATTTAATACATAATTAAATGATCTTCAGGAACATCATGCAAAAAGTATGAATCTCAGAAATGTTTGTGTTGTTAGTATTACACCCATTTACCTGTGCATCGAGTTCTCCCTGTTTTTTCCCTTTGCATTTGTCGATCGAAACAGGTTTCGTATTGCTGTCCAGTACAAAGCGGCCCTCGTCATTGGGATATCTACCCTCGAAATTCGTACCCTGCTTCCCTTCGAGCTACGAACCATTTTGCAGCAAGGTTGCATGAAGACTTCATTTTGAACTACTATTTTCTAAAATACTGAAATATTTTTTTAGAGAATACAGCTGTTTCAGGTCAATTTTTTACAAAAGGTTTGGAGAAAGCATCCATAAACACGTCACTTCTGGATTTATTCTTCTCGTTGCTTATCATTCTATAAATAGAAATTTCTTATTTTTTAAGTTTAAAATATGGAAATAATTGAATTATCATGCATATTCTCGACACTTTACAATTCCGTTATTTTGTTAGTATTTTACTGCTTTATTTTCTTATCTATTTATTTCCTAAAGACAAACTTTTCACAGATTGCAAAAAAAAAATTTTCTATAGACTCTACATTGATTTTACTGTATGTTATTTGACTTAACTTTTACTTCTGAATGCTGACATTAATAGCAACGTTATATTATGTACACTGTCAAAGCTGAAACTCTGGAAGTTTTCAGGTAGTAATATTAAATTTTTCTCTGCATTTTGATATGTCAATGCTAGATATTTGTTTAGTGCAATTCTTTTATCATCAGCTTCATGAATAGTTCGTTCGCTTACGTCTATAAATAGACGAATTACACAATATGTTGAATGTTGATACGGTCGTATGCCATTGCCTTCAACGCCTCACATTCACAGCGAAAACGCCCATTTCCATGGGTTGGAACCATTAATCGTAGATTGCTTGCGGCGCACCTTTCACCAGAGCTGATTTCCTACAATTAAAGGCAGGTCACACCTTTGCGCAATTGCAGAAGACAATTATACGCTATGTAATAGGTCCGCAAATGTTGTGAAAGTAATTGAGTAAGAAATTCGCCCTGAATATGTAATATAATCATTATAATAACCCCAAAATTTTAAAAATTACATAAAAATCAGAATATTTCTTTTCATAACAAAAAAGCTTCCTGCAACGTTATATCGGATGTTTTGTAAAAATTTCTAGAGAAATATGAGTAATTTTTGAAAATTAACTTAGTTATTTACTTATTTATGTGTCATTCTCAGAGACAATTAGCTATAAACCAAATGAAAATCCAGAAATTAATTATTCGCACGGATCAGCACATAGTAAAGCAAAATACATACTGTTAGAAAATAATTCAGAAATATGAAATGTGACAGATATACATTTTTGTGCATATTTTTTTACATTTACAATATTTGTTTAATAAAATACAAATTAATTTTAAAACAAATATAAGAAAATATTTTTATGATTTCTAGATTTACTCAAAACTATATGTACGCATCCAAGTTGAGTCCCCACATTCCAATTTTTCAAGAATCTTAAACACAAATCGTTTTCTGAATTCTGCACGTATTTAGAATTGTATTTTTAAATAGAAATTGTATGACAAAAAAATAGACAGTATTAACTACTTCAAAAACCTATCTTCAATTGGTCTCCGTGTAATATGTATGTGATATACCGAATCTCAAATTATTACTTATATTTATACAAACAAATTATTAATTATTATTATATATTAAAATATGATTAATATATTTAAACATAACACAAACACTCAGAATCTAAAATTATACTTATTAAAATCAGACAATTATGATTACTCGATGAGTTTTTCATGTCAATAAGCTGTAACACAGAAGAAAGCAATAATGGTATATTTGTATAATGTTACGTATAAATTGTTAGTGATGATTTTATTACAATATTTGTCTCCGGTATTGATAGGTACATCGTAATCTTTACTTGTTTTTTATCGAAGCGTAGAGAAATATTAAAATAATACAAATTTAAAGGTTACGAAATGCAGACAGACAACAAAAATAAGTGGCAAGAAAGCATATGCACTATTCTGTTTCAAGACGTGGAAATAAACATGAAGTTGGTCGTTAATACTTACATTGTGATGCACTCATATTACCCATTTTTATTTTCTATGAAAGGGGTTTACAATGCAGTTCTTCAGAGAGCCATTTCTTTAATAAAGAATTTAACAAATTAAGCAAGTAAGTAAACGTGTAGTTCTTTCTAAAAATACATTTTTTGAATAATTTTATATATTTCACATGTATTGAGTACAAAAGATATCAATCTTTCTTGTGAATAAACCAAACACAATTAGGAAGTTCATGGATAAAACATGAAGCAGACATTCACCTGTGTTTAGATTGACTTTCGTGTTACCACTAAACAGCAATAAAAGTCTGTGTTTTATTAGTTTACAAGTTATTTAATGCCCTGCTCGTCACATTGCAGAATGTTAAACATTTTCATTAAACATTCCTTTCATATTATTTTCTACGCGATAAATATGTTTAGTATAATCAACATATAGTAAAGAGTGGAGTTGTTCAACAGAATTGCATTGTGAACGTTATGAAAACTGAGAAATTAGTTACTTAGGACTGTAAATATTACATTGGTTGATAGATATATAGTTAGGTGGTTTGAAGTGCACTGACTTTTATATATTTCGTTAATCCTTACAGTACTTTTAGAATCAGACAATAAACACAACTAAAAATCTAATATTTCACATCGGATTTAACGATTCTTTTTTGAAAGGATAAAACACAAAAAGTTGGGTATTTATTAAAATTATCTTAATTAGTAAAAATACCAAATATATATTTGAAGTATTGTCTTCCTAATGAATTTTTAAGAGAAAAAAACGAACAAAAAATAAAAATCGCAAGCGGTGGAATAGCTTAATATCGTTCCACTAATATCGAACCATATGTCAGAAACTTTCCAAAATGAAAAAGGTTTTAAGATTCCGTGACAGAAGCTTTCAGTTTTGCAAGTGTAATGATTTTTTCTCTTTCATTAAATTTCGAAAAACTGGAATATCTCCAGAAACATCAACAGTGAAGATTTTTTTTAGCAACTGTTAGATCAGCAAATTATTTTAAGTTGCTAAATGAGATGTACAAAACATTCAGAACATTGTTTTGAGTTCCTTTTGAGGTTGAATATCGAGCGGTATCAC